GGTGAGCTGAGTCGCCAGAATCGCTTCTACTGTAAAGCTGACAGTCGGCTTTAGAAGTTTAAACAGAGTCCCGGAGGCAAAAGTCCCCGGGAGTCTGTCTAAACAGAACCGATGCCAGTGAGGTACACTGTACGTTGTTGGTCATGACGGGGTTAATAAAGATTAAAGCGAAACTGAAAAGAATGATCTTTTATAGATACTTCCATTGGGCTTGATGTAAGTATCCCTATCTGATCTCTGGAGGGCCCTGGGGATGCTGAAAATCACTGTAGCATTTAGAGCTACTTACAATGATAGCTGGACCCTTTGATTGCTGCTCCAGCAACATCCACTCCGTACACTGAGGCTAGGTTCACACATAGACAATTGCGCTGGTGAGCTGTTTTCGTGGCGGTTGTCACGCTTTTTTGTTTGGGCGATTTTGCTTTGAAAAACGCACAGTTGTTGCATGGTTTTCAATGCATAGAGATGTCTATGAGACTCAAACCGTGTGACAACCGCCTGAAAATATCTCCGGAACCTTTTTGTGCGACAGGCGATTTCTAACGTGTCAAAAATCGCAAAGGTGTGAACTGTTTCCATAGACTTGAATGGAAATCTCTGTTTTGTGAGATGAATCGCTTAGGTGTGAACCTAGCCTGAGCACAGGGAGTCACTTGCTTGGCACTGCTGCCATTCAGAGAACACCTGGTATCTTTTTTTTTTATAAATACAAGTTGATTTCTGATTGGATGAGGTGGAGATTGTGGCATCATGCTCCTCTCGTTTCCAACTCGTCCAGTCACAGAATGCCTTGTATTCCCTGAAAAACCAAATATAAGGCATTCTATGAATGACGACGATGTCAAGCAAGTGACTCCCTGAGCTTAGTGTGAAGCACTGGGGCTGCAGCCGGAAGATCACGGCTATCATTGTATGTAATGCAGAAGATCACTGCTATCACCACATGTAGCACAGAAGATCACAGCTATCACCACATGTAGCACAGAAGATCACGGCTATCACCACATGTAGCACAGAAGATCACAGCTATCACCACATGTAGCACAGAAGATCACGGCTATCACCGCATGTAGCACAGAAGATCACGGCTATCACCACATGTAGCACATAAGATCACGGCTATCACCACATGTAGCACAGAAGATCACAGCTATCACCACATGTAGCACAGAAGATCACGGCTATCACCACATGTAGCACAGAAGATCACGGCTATCACCACATGTAGCACAGAAGATCACGGCTATCACCGCATGTAGCACATAAGATCACGGCTATCACCACATGTAGCACAGAAGATCACGGCTATTACCGCATATAGCACAGAAGATCACTGCTATCACCACATGTAGCACAGAAGATCACGGCTATCACTGTATGTAATGCAGAAGATCACTGCTATCACCACATGTAGCACAGAAGATCACGGCTATCACCGCATGTAGCACAGAAGATTACGGCTATTACCCCATGTAGCACAGAAGATCACGGCTATCACCGCATGTAGCACAGAAGATCACGGCTATCACCGCATGTAGCACAGAAGATCACGGCTATTACCGCATATAGCACAGAAGATCACTGCTATCACCACATGGAGCACAGAAGAGCACGGCTATCACTGTATGTAATGCAGAAGATCACTGCTATCACCACATGTAGCACAGAAGATCACGGCTATCACCGCATGTAGCACAGAAGATTACGGCTATTACCCCATGTAGCACAGAAGATCACGGCTATCACCGCATGTAGCACAGAAGATCACGGCTATCACCGCATGTAGCACAGAAGATCATGGCTATCACTGTATGTAATGCAGAACATCACAACATCTGGCTTTTTTGGGGGGGCTGAACGAAAAAATCTAAATAGGGTTATTTATTATGAATTATTCTTTACCCTTCCAGTGGGTCTCCCTGGGCTCCCTGACCAGTATCCACCAGAAAGGTGTCAGGGAGCTTGGCTCAGCAGACTCAGGCTAATAGGTAATCATGTTTGCACAGCTAAATAAATAAACCAAAATGGAATAAAGGGGCCGCCATTCACACCCTTTGTGATCTACCAGCATCAGCTTTGAGAGCTACTGGTAGATCACGATCTACCTAATGGGCACTCCTGATCTAGGACAGCATAGCTGATTTGGAATAATTCTCCAATTCAGCTCACTTTCCAGTTCAGCTATGTTGTCCTAGATTGTTCCATTCTGACTTCTCCAAACTCCTCACTCTTTTGTGAATAACCCTGTAAGTTGCAGAAGGGATTCAGAAAACCAAAAGCTGCTTAGTAAATGCTGGTAACAGACTGCATTATACATGTCATTTTTTTTATTTTGCCCATAGTTCCACTTTAACCTTCCCCTACCTAAACCTTTAACACTTCATCTGCCTCTGACGTAAGACATAAGGATTAACAGAACCACATCCAGCTGGCCAACTCAGTATGCATTACGTCAGCTGCCTTCTCCCCCTCCTGCTATATGCTCATGGTCGCTTATAACAGGAGGGCCCACTGACTCTGCTTAGCAAATAATAGCTGTCATCAGCAGCTGGCAAGCCTCTAAATACTAAAATAGCTAAATACACAGATGAAAAAGTGTACATATAAGAGAACTATACAAAAAAATACATCAATAAAAGTTTTACCTGTCAGCAGATTGTACTTCTGACCATCCAATTCTAAGATTTGCACAGCTCTGTCATGCAGCATAACCCTGTTTGGCAGGGCAGGGGGATCTTATTTTTTTCTGCTGCAATTACACTACTACAGAGTAACAGTAGAGCCATCCTCTGTCACTCTGCTCTCTCTTCCTATCAGTATGTCCTTTGTTAGAAAATGAGCACTGCAGGACAACTGTCTGGCTCTTCGTGGTCATTTTTCCCCTACCAGTCTGGGTTCTGCTGTAACGCTTGATCCTAACCTAATCCCTAATCAGGGACACTGCAGATCCAATATCCTGGTGCTGAAATTAGGTTATTTGCTTGGCCTTTGTGCCTTCTATACAGTGACCCCGGAGCCTGCACAGGCAATACATCTGCTGCTCAGTGCCCACATCTGCTTACTTGGGTTTTCATGAAAAAAAATACCTTCGTTTCTAAAAATGCTCGCAAATGTCTTCATGAATCCCGCTTGTTTCCCTGTCATGGAGAGAACCTGGATCCGTGATTTGACACAGTCCACTGGGAATACAACCAGCCACAATGAGATCCCACCGAATCCTCCGCTAATCATCAATGGAAGAATTCCTACCAACAAGAGAAGAAATGTGTCTCATTACAATGTTATGTATCCTTGTCATATGTATTCAAAAGAAATGCTTTGTAATGTTGGATTAATTATGTATTACATTTGGAAGAGACTTGCTGTCTTTCCAGCACTTTTGTATTAGGGTTCGTTCACACCAGATGCAGTGCGTTCCGGCCCGATTCTGGCCAGAATACAATGCATCGCATTGCGGCCGGCTCACTTTTTTGTTGGGCAGGACGGGGAGTGGCGGTCCATTAAAGTGAATGGCACCGTAGCCACGCCCTCTGGCCTCAATGCGATCGGCCGCACGGGATCGCAAGGCACATTATGCCTGTGGTCCAGTGCGGTCCGATCAAAATAGTACTTGCAGCATTTTGATCGGACCGCAGGCATAATGTGCCTTGCGATCCCATGCGGTTAAGCGCATTGCGGTCGGAAGGCGTGGCTACGGTGCCATTCACTTCAATGGCGCGCCGCAATGCGATGCAGTGCGTTCTGGCCAGAACGCACTGCATCTGGTGTGAACGAACCATAAAAGTTAGACTCTGGTAAAGACTGAAGGTAAAGCCAGAGAGTTCATTAAGGTACAAAATCTACCTCAGGAGTGGGGAACGTTTTTTCTGCCAAGGGCCATTTGAATATTTATAACATCATTCGCAGGTCATACAAAATTATCAACTTAAAAATGAGTGTGCTATACTTGGTCAAACCTTTATTTAACTCACCCCTAACGTGATGGCTGGAACTGCTTTCTTTTTTTCTTTGAAGCTAAGCCCATAGTGGTAAATGATCAGGGATTGACGCGATTCCATAGAAAATAACTGGAATTGTTAGTGAGAAATCCTTTTGTAGATTCTACCTGCTCATCACTTCTGCTTTTCATCTTCCAGTAACTGTAGTGTCCCAGGCGATCTTACTGCAGAAACTATCCAGGTTTTCAGAATTATGTTGCAGCAGGAACACCAATTCCTTAACCTTATGAATATGTAGGCTTGGTATTCTTGACTCTGTCCACTGAAGGCTCCCTTTTACCTCTCATTAACAGAATTATGTGACAAGTAGCTGCAATTCGACCAAGCAGCACACAATACATCGAATTGAGATGATGTTAAAGTCATTTGGGATAGAATAGGTAATGGTCACAGCCCCTGTTGAGTTTTTTCTTGCCATCCGTGTCCCACTGGGGAGATTTCACCTCACTTCCTGTCCTGTAGACGTGACAGGACATGATGGGAAATCTCTGAGAAGCAAAGGGAAATTCCCTCTCTGACAGTTGGCTGCCGAACAGGTGTCCCCATTGGAAGATTACCCTTCTATTCTTCTGGTGTCAACTTGAACTACAGCATGGGTGACAGTGACCATCAGTACAAATAGAGAGGGTGAATCTTCCTATTAGGGACAAAAACAGCAATTAAAACCTAACTGGGGTTCCACTGCCCACCCTATTCTAGCTAGAACTAAACAAGAAAAGGATTTAGATTTACATACACTTAAAGTTCTTTAGTTAACAACACACATCCTAAATAGACACGTTCTATTATTCCAGTCAGCAATAGAATGCAAACTGAAATCTAAACATGTAGAGTTAAAGAGTAACCCCAATAATTGAAACCAGTTGGTAACCTTCTAATGTTATTCAGGACAACCACCTTGAGAATTTATGAGAGATAACTTGATCAATTCCATCCCTCACCACTCTACATCCCAAAATGCCACAGGAGACATCAGAGCACAGCAGTCTGGCTGCAGTTGTGTGCTATACAATTGCACACCACAAAGTTTGGGATCCACGTATTGTAGACATTAATTTAATTAGTTAGGATGTTATTGCTGCACTTGGAGAGGTATAGAAACAAAATAACATACCTAAGTCATATCATACCTATGTCACATCCTATCTAAGTCACATCATACCTATGTCACATCATACCTTAAATCACATCATCTCTAAGTCATATTATACCCTAAGTCATATGATATCTATGTCACATCATACCTTAAATGATATCATCCCTAAGTCATATCATACCCTAAGTCATATCATACCTATGTCACATCATACCTTAAATCATATCATCCCTAAGTCATATCATACCCTAAGTCATATCATACCTATGTCACATCATACCTTAAATCATATCATCCCTAAGTCATATCATACCCTAAGTCATATCATACCTATGTCACATCATACCTATGTCACATCATACCTTAAATCACATCATACCTTAAATCACATCATCCCTAAGTCATATCATACCCTAAGTCATATCATACCTTAAATGATATCACCCCTAAGTCATATCATACTCTAAGTCATATCATACCTATGTCACATCATACCTTAAATCATATCATCCCTAAGTCATATCATACCTATGTCACATCATACCTATGTCACATCATACCTTAAATCATATCATCCCTAAGTCTATTCATACCTATGTCACATCATACCTATGTCACATTATACCTTAAATCATATCATCCCTAAGTCTATTCATACCTATGTCACATCATACCTATGTCACATCATACCTTAAATCACATCATACCTTAAATCACATCATCCCTAAGTCATATCATACCTTAAATGATATCACCCCTAAGTCATATCATACTCTAAGTCATATCATACCCTAAGTCACATCATACCATAAATCATATCATCCCTAAGTCATATCATACCTATGTCACATCATACCTGTGTCACATCATACCTTAAATCACATCATTCCTAAGTCATATCATACCTTAAGTCATATCATACCTATGTCACATCATACCTGTGTCACATCATACCTTAAATCACATCATTCCTAAGTCATATCATACCTTAAGTCATATCATACCTATGTCACATCATACCTTAAGTTATATCATACCTTAAGTCACATCATACCTAAGTCCTATCATACCCTAAGTTATATCATACCTTAAGTCACATCATACTTTAAGTCACATCATACCTAAGTCATATCATACCCTAAGTTATATCATACTTTAAGTCACATCATACTTTAAGTCACATCATACCTAAGTCATATCATACCTATGACACAGCATACCCTAAGTTATATTATACCTAAGTCATATTATACCTAAGTCATATCATACCTATGCCATATCATACCTATGTCATATCATACCTATGTCATCTTTCGTTTTCCCACTTGTTGTGAAAAAAGAGCGGCCCAATTCATATCCCCCGAAGAAGAAGAAGTAGCCCGGGACCTCTCTGAGCAGAGTGCTAGACAAACCATGATAAAGACCCCACGGCCCATCTGTATGCAATATATTCTTTACCACCGACCACACTGTGCTAAGGAGAGAGGAAGATCAAAGTAATTAACAGATCATCATCTTATTTAGCAGGAAGATTGAAAATAATTCACACTGTTTTATATATTTTCTTTCGTATTTATTATGCTTTCTTCTTTAAAAAAAAAACCTTTTAAAATGCTTCATTTATTTATATTCAGACAAATGTGAAATATTACATGCAAATATGTTATATTCTTAATTTACCAGGTAGGGCTCTTAGGAAGTCTTAGCATGTGAAGAAATGTAATAAGATCTGAACAACAGGAATCACACTCCCACTGTGCTAGCGAAGATTGCAATGTCTGAATAAGTAAATTATCAGCATGCATGGCCAACATATTACATACAAACATTTTATATTTAGAATTTATCAGATAAGCCTCTTAGCATGTGAAGTAATGTAATAAGATCTGAATGACTCAGAGGAGTCACACCCCCACGCACTCTACTTGCAAAGATTGTAATGCCTTAACAAGTAAATTACCATTCGTAGTAATGAACAAACATATAAAAGAGCAGTATGTATATGTGTATTACAGTTCCTTTTTTTACATGGATTGTGAGGCAGAAAACAGAACTTTAATAATGAATGAACTATATCAATGAAGTCAGATGTTAATATGGAGTATGCAGAAATACATATCATTTTGTACTGGTTTTCCCACTCATTAATAGTCAATTTTCCTGATGTAACAAAGCACAGTCACAAAGGACAGGCATATGTATTCTGATCCCAAAGCAGGGGACACAGACATTGATAAAAAAAAACAAAAAAAAAACAACGACCTGCCAGAGGACCTAACTCTTCACTATATTATCCAAAACTAGAACAGATGTATAAGGGTAATCTTCTGAAAATGTTTTATATATTTTTTTAAACCAGCTGCCTCATCTATAACAGTGAAGGATAGTCACTGCTCAACCTTCCCTTCCGCTCCTCTCGCCCATTCACAAAACTCTTTTCACTTTTATGCACGTTGTTCTGTGATAGGGTTAGAGTGATCCTTTCATTGATCCGTGCCTTCTCCAACACCTTGCATTCTGTGAGCGAGCAAGTGGCACTGATCTTACTGTTACAGGCGATGCAGTTAACCCATGTAGCGGTGGATGTTCCCCGATGTGAGGAGGATCCAGCATCACTGAAGGCGGGTTTATATTAACCAGCAGCCGGGAGGACATAGGTAACACTTCATCAGAGGTAGATCATGGGACAGGTGATGTATCCCCTGTATTTGTAGCCAATTGCATCATCTGGGACAATGTCATGTGTGTTACATCAATCAATATTTGAATCATTCATTTGCAATCACTCGTAGCTGAATTGATCACAAATCGTTTTGTGTATAGATACCATAAGTTGTACAGAAAAAGAAAAGAAGGAGCATGTAGTGACTATGTAATATTAGTGCTTACTTACTTTTGCCCCTCTATGATCTTGCCAGACAGCTTCATTTCATGCATGGCCTGAAGACGACACTTGACCAGCTCTGTGGGACAAAGGGCCAGTGAGGCAAATGCCGCTGCAAATGAGCCTGCAGTTGCATTGTGCAGATTACTAAAATGCAGACACAGAAATACAGTCTTCAAAATGACAAGATCATCATTTCACACGAATACTGCAGAGGACACATTTAAATATGGTTGGTGAAGACAATTTCAGTTGCTGTAGTAATAACAAGTAAGTAAGAAAAAAAGATTATATTATTAGAATAGTAGCTAGCAGTCAGGGCCTGTGAAAATGTGACGTGTATCTGAAGCCTAATTTATGTGTACATGAAGCTTAGAGGGCACCATGAGCCCGGCCATAGCTATAATGTGAAGGGTCACCTTAGCCAAAAAACAAACTGTGGCAAGAATATGCCTTGTGGAGAGGGGGTGTACCTATGCATATGCTAATACATACTTTCAAAAAGTCAGAATTTGCATAGGAACGCTGGCGTCTTCAATGCCACTCTGGAGAGGTATAGTAGAGGTTCTTGTTGTCCCCGATAAGTTCCGATTATTGTATTGTATTACATGTTCATTTTAAAGACATTAAACAACTAACTCCCTCTAAGCTGGAGTTTTACTCTTCAGTAAAGGGACTGCTGGGTAGATAAAAGTTAAGTGTCATGAGTTGTATGTCACAATATCATTATACATTGTACTTTCGTTATTATTTACACCTTCATTGAGGCTGCATAGTATAGCTCTTGCACTGCGGGTATGAGAGCTGCGGTTCTCATACACGGAAGCTGCACTGCTACTTATCCTTACTCCTATTCCCTTGTCCTTTCACAGAACGCATTCTATTCTATTGAAACAATACAAAGTGTCCTGTGAATAGGCAAGGGGAGAGAAAGGTGAACAAACAACACTGTGTTTGAAAGATGTGGGGAATATAATATGGGTTCCCCTGGGGGAATATAATATAAGACTCTCTGGGGCCCAGATGTCCATGTCACTGCAACCCCTATTAGTGTGTTAAGGTGATAATGAGACTGATATCTATCCATATATGCTTATTTTTGGAATAATGTTAAATAGCAAAATACATTTGTCAACTATGAAGAAAAGATAAAGGCACCAGGTCTTCCTAAGTTTGCTACTTACCTTAGAGGCACATTCTTTTCTAAGCCAGCAATTTTCCTCACAACTCGCTGACAGAAGCCATAGCTCATGAAGAGAACTGAGTTCTCAGATATATTGGCAAGAAGTGCTGGGCTGGTTCCTTTGTAGAATCCTCGGAAGCCCCCCTGTTTGTAAGTCTTCATTCCACAGTCTATCAGCCCTCTATACAGGTTGGGGAATGTCTGCATTTTTACCTTGGCAGTGTCAAATGGCTGTCCAGTTAGGACACAAGCTGTTCCACCTAAAACAATTGTTTAATCAAATTGGCATTTAATAATTTATACTCTGATTTGTCCACTTAAAACCTTAAAGTGACACTAAACTCAGGAAATAAATCTTAAAATGCATTCAAGTACCTTAACTATTAACAAAAATGTATCTTATTTGTGTATCACTCAGCTGCAGAGCCTCAGATCATCTCTGAATTGGTGCTGACACTGTCCTTCCTTCTGGAGGGTGGCTACTTTTGTTCCCCATGGTCCCTGTGTGTCATAAAGTAGCCACCTCTCCAAGCTCACTCCCGTGATGGACTACAATCTCATGTTTAGTTCACTCATTTGTACTGCGATTATAGGTCGTGTTTAAATTTAAATTTGCACAGGTAACTCACATCAATCTAATCACCATGATATGTGTTAAGGCAGATGTTGAAATATCTAAGGGTGCCCACACACCTTACGATAATCGTACGATAATCGCGGGAAATCCCGCGATCGTACGATTATCTTAAGTTGTGTGGAAGCCGTGCGACCTCTACTACTGTAAGGTCGCACGACTTTAAACTTAAGAACATGTTCGAAAACTCGCCGAGCATCGTACGATGTTCGGTGGGTGTGTAGCCTGTTCGTAAGATAAAAGCCGGACGGGCCGGTGTGTGCAAGCGCACACTGCCCGTTCGGCAATGTGGTCATCGGAAGCCCGCCCCTCAGGGGGTGCGGCTTGCGATCATCGCAAGTACGATCTGCCTGTCCAAGATAGGCAGATCGTACGTTTTTTTAAGTACCTTACAACCATCGCAAGACAAAAGTCTTGCGATGGTTGTAAGGTGTGTGCCCAGCATAAGAACGTGATGGAAGGTGGGAAAATCTGTGGAAACAGCCTGTTCTAATTACATAATCCAATCCCTAGGCGCCAGGAAGTCTGCAACAGGTGTTCATTCTTCTATTTACTTGAAGAATTAAAATTTTAAAATGGCATTATAACTCCAAAACTGCAGCACTTTTGGTAGGTCTGCAGAGGTCAGGACCTACCAAAAGTGGTCCATGTAAGGAAAACCGGTGAACCAGCGATGGGGTCATGGGAGGCCAAGGCTCATTGATGCACGACAGGAGGGAAGGCTGACCCGTGTAGTCTGATCCAATAGAACTGCTACAGTAGTTCAAATTGCTGAAAATGTTAATGCTGGTTCTGATAGAAAGGTGTCTGAACATACAGTGCATGAGTGCATGTTGTGTATGAGGCTGCGTAGACGCAGATTTCTCAGGGTGCTCATGCTGACCCGTGTCCACTGCCAAAAGCACCTATAATGGGCACATGAGCATCAGAACTGAACAACGCAGCAATGGAAGAAGGTGGCCTGGTCTGATAAATCATGTTTTCTTTTACATCATGTGAATGGCTGGGTGCGTGTGTGTCACTTACCTGGGGAAGAGATGGCACCAGGATACACTATGGGAAGAAGGCAAGCTGGCAGAGGCAGTGTGATGCTTTGGGCAATGTTCTGCTAGGAAACCTTGGGTCCTGCCATTCATGTGGATGTTACTATGACATGTACCACCTACCTAAACATTGTTGTTGACCAAGTACATCCCTTCATGAAAACAGTATTTTCTGATGGCAGTGGCCTCTTTCAGCAGGATAATGCACCCCGCCACACTGTAAAAATGGTTCAAGAATGGTTTGAGGGATACAACAATGAGTTTGAGGTGTTGACTTGGCTTCCAAATTCTCCAGATCTCAATCCAATTGAGTACCTGTGAGATGTGCTATATATACAAGTCTGATCCATGTCTAGGTCATCTCCCTCTTGGACGTGTAACGTCCCAGAAAGGGTCATTTTGTTATTTTGTGTGTCTTCTCATGTAAAAATGATGTTTTATATTTGCTATGAAAAGCAATGTTTTTATCTACTGAGTTAATGTGTTCACTAAAAGCTTGTATTTTCGATGTCCTTATATTGAACCACATATAATCCGCATACTGTACCTAAATCAGTAACTTGCTGTTGTTTCTAGACATGTGCGCCGGAAAAAAAATTGTTTTGTTTCGGATTTCTCATTAATTTGTTTTTCAGGATTCGGGCCCAAAAGTAAATTCGTTTCATTATTTGGATTCATCTGAATCCGAAATTTTCATTAATTTCGTATGCGTTAGATAATTCCGAACAAAATTTTGTTGCAGTGACAGTGACATTAGAAAAAAAAAGGGACATTTTCTTCTTAACTTTTGACAGTCCACAGAAACAAAAACAAAAAAGTGTGGGGTCCCCCCAATTCATACCAAACCCTTTAGATCTGGTAGGAATTTGAGGGGGGACCCCAAAACCAAAAAAACAAAACAGCAGCAGCCTGGTAGTGCAGGAAAGTGGGGGGTGAGCGTGCACCCCACCTCCTGCACCATATCAGGCCACATGCCCACAACATGGGGAGGGTGCTTTGCCAGGGGTGGACCCCCTGAAAAGGCACCTTGTCCCCATGTCAATGAGGACAAGGACCTCTTCCCCACAACCCTGACCCGGTGGTTTTGGGGGTCTGTGGGCAGGGAGCTTATCAGAATCTGGGTGCCCCCGTTCATAAAGGGGGCAACCAGTAGCCGCACCCCGCCTCATGAATATGTAAAGGGTAGTGTTACCCCTACCCATTCACCAAATAAACAGTAAAATTGTAATTAAACACACAATACCATCATTTAAAAAAAAAACAACACAACACAGGTTTTTGACAAGTCCTTTATATATATATATATAAAAAAAAAAAGTGTCCATCGATGTAATCCAAACGTCAATCACGTTGTCCAGTGATGTAGATCCACCTTGGTAGCTCTCGAATGCTATTTGGGAGCAGAGCTATCATGACTACAGCTTTGCTCCTGAATGTCAACATAGGGGTGGGAACAAATCCAGTGACATCACGGCTTGCTCCGCCCCTTTATTGACATCCGGGTCAGCATTGCCATTTTGCGGTGAGAGTTTGTTGGGATCAGTTGTGTCGTCGGGCGTTGGGCATTTTTTCTGCTGGCGAGTCAGCGGTCGTTGTCCATCGTGATTGACATGGATCTACATCACTGGATGACGTGATTGACATGTGGTTACATCGGTGGACACTTTTTTGGGTTTTTTTTTTTTAAATAAAGGGCTTGTCAAAACCCTGTGTTGTGTTTTTTTTTTTTTTAAATAAAGAACTTTGTATACAGTGTTGTGTGTTTATTTACAATCTTACTATTTATTTGGTGAATGAGTAGGGGTAACAATTACCCCTTACTTATTCACAAGGGGGGGGGGCATCTAAGGGAACCTAGATTCAGATAAGCCCCCCTGCCTGCACACCCCCACAACCACTGGGATGCTTTGGATGCTTACGAAATGTAGTTATCGGAAAATCCGGATATGTTCGGATTTGTAATTTCTTTCATTTAGAAATTCGGATGCATCCAAATGTCCAAATTTGCCGAATTTCAGTTTGGAACAAAACAACTTGCACATGTCTAGTTGTTTCCCTGCATGATTTCAAGGCTCTCCTCTCTACATACTCAATGTACAGATTAGCTATAATTGGAGACACTGATGATCTCATTGCACAGCAATGTTTCTGTCTGTAGAAGTTGTCCTTGTACTTGAAATAGATAATGTTAAGACACAGGTCAAGTAAAGAACATACTTGGTCTGGCTTCAGTTTTGTTCCACTGTCAAGAGTCTTATCTTGTTTCAGATGTTTCCTCACAGTCTTAATAGCGTCTGCATTTGGTATAGAAGTGAAAAGTGATGTAACATTACAGGACACTATTATATTTTCTTTCTCTAACAGTCTATGGACCTTGTTGCTAAATTCCTTAGAGTTCTGAATATGGTGTACTGTGTTGCCAGTTATTAGAATGGCTCTTAGAATGGCCCTTCCTTGTGTATCTTAAGGAGTCAATACAGGCATGGTGTAACTTACCCAGTATAGAGATTGTGATACAAGGTCCATTTCATGGCTCTTCTCTTTTCTAGCTGTTGTATAGAGTCTATTACCTCTTTCTTGTTAGAGCTAGTAGGGTCCCTCTTTAGTGACCCATACGTATTAACATCACTGAGTAGAGTGGTCACTTTAGAATGATAATTAGATGTATTCATCATGACAGTGCATCTCCCTTTGTCTACTGGCAGGATGATAATGCCTGGAGTCTTACTAAATTATGTAACAGTACTCCTCTCTTATGGGTCAAGTTGGGAGGAGGTGCTTTGGAGCCAGGTAGAACAGCCAGAGCTCTCATGCAAAGTTTTTATTCTCTTTGTGGTATTTGTGGATGAAATATTCTGTAACTGTGATGAAATCCACCAGGGGAACACCTCAGCATGCCCAACAAACTTCAGTCCTTGGGTGCAACTCCCTTCTCCAGTTGAGTCAGATCTCTGTCTGAAAGTTTCTTTATCCACTTGTCCTTATTGATATGGGGAATTTATCCTGTTGTTTATTGCTGATCAATAGTTACAAATAGTGGACTTTGTCTTTTTGTCTGTCCTCAGTATGTTGGCTAACTGAATTTACTCTGTAAAGTCAACCACTCTTTATGGGATCTCAGCAGGTAATTTTGATCCTGAACTCTTTAATTCAAACAACTTTCTGTTTCAAAGCAACAATGGTGAAGTGGGTCTGTCTCACAGCATATGTGGGGCCTTTGACACCATCCATCACCCACATGTAATGCCATTCTAACATATCTTGCCTGGTGATTAGACAAGTCACACTATTTAAATAGAAGAATTAACTCTTGTTACAGACCTGCTGCCCCCACGGGACTGGATTATATAATAAGAACATGGTGTTTACACAAACTTTCACACTTTCCATCCTGTTCTTGTACAACCAACATCTGCATTGACATGATCCATGGTGATTTAATTAATGTGATTGAGGTACCTATGTGGTTACAACTGCCACTCTTTAAAACTAAAAAAGTAGCTGGATAAGCTGTGAAACGTCTGCAACATTACAGAACAAGATCCGTTGAATGTGACTAACTACTACTAGGTATAATATGACCTGGATAAATAAAAACTTTGACATTGTTTTCAATGGATATTTCTGTCAGAATGCTAATGTTCCTCTAGGATAAAGCCTGTGCGGGTGCATCTGCTCATTGCATAAAAATTCATTCTTAGCTGATACAAGCATATGTGTTTATGACACGTCCCTTTGGCGATCCAATCTTTCAATTGCCATGTCATGTTTGTGTGTGGTTTAGTGCTGCTTTAGATGTAGACGTCACCAGTACACCAGCCACGACAAAAACACATGGGTCAGTGCGAATCCATTTAACGATGTGTTACTTGGAAAATCTTTGGTTTAGTGTTGCCTCTCCTAAACAGTTCAGATATTGATAAAAGGTAAACTATTCTGGAATGTTTTCCTTACAGCAAGTGTCAACTAGGTGTCTGTGTTACACAATTTGATGAATGCAAGACTACCCCATTTAAAGTGATTATAGATGCGCAAAACTATTCTACCCATTATGTTCTGCATGACATCGGACGCCAAAGATTGTCAGAGATTGGAAAAGCTTATGAATGTGTGAATATAACAGGTGCTCCCATTTAAAATATAGCAAGTCACAAATGAGCATTTCTAACAAGGCAGTGCAAGAGACTTCCATAATACTATATCACCTAACGGATCTGGTGTATCTGATGATGAATTGTAAGGAAAGCGTATGTGTTGCCCACAGCAAGCAATCTGACGATAAATTTCTAAATGTGATAGAAAATATACAGCTATAAAATATACAGTAGTATACGAACAGACCGCACTATCCAGAGAATTCCAATACTTCAGACTTTATTGAAATTCACAGAAAATCCAGTATAACAGTGAATAAAGCAACAAATGCCAGCACTGCACACCCCCAACCAGCTATAACCTCTCACATGTTTCACCCGTAGGCTTATATGAATGTGAGAGGTTGTAGCTAGTTGGGGGTGTGCAGTGCTGGCATTTGTTGCTTTATTCACTGTTATACTGGATTTTCTGTGAATTTCAATAAGGTCTGAAGTATTGGAATTCTCTGGATAGTGCAGTCTGTTTGTATACTACTACATTCCAAGGTGGAGGCGCACCTATCGGACCAGCGCCTGGGAAGCCTTGATGATGGCTAAGGAATTGGAGTGGTGAGATTTCCTTTGGCTCTACATAGAAAATATACAGCTGAAATATGATTGGTCGCAATGACCAACACGTCCACTTCTCTTTCAATCTTGCTTTTGTACTTATGTCTAAATGTTCCATAGAAATGCACGGGCAAAACTGAAATTGTTAGATAATAATGTAGCAGCGCAAGATACATTCATTACCTATAGCACCAGCCGTCAGATCTATGGCTGCTTGGATTGTGTTGTTTGTCTTCATGTTTCATATATGAGGCTTTTACAAGGATGGTAACATAAATATCTAAAAAAAATAAAATAAGATATAGTCTTAATTTTTCAATTAAAAATTGTAACCTAGCTGGTGATGGTGGGGTTGGCAAAAGGAACCAAAAAGATCTCTCTACTGAAGCAGTAGTGCCTACTGAAGAGGATATTTACATGTCTCTCTGCAATCATAATTCCAAACAACAAGGGATTTAGTTCTCATTTTAGTATAGTGGACAGAGCTATGCAAATCATTCCTTAATGACCCTTGATCATCTGCGCACCCAGAATGCTGAGCAGAGCAATGGAAATTATTTCTTTAGTGTAATACACCCTGGCATGAAAAAAATGTCCAATAACTTCTGTGATCTTTTAAGTGTCTGATAAGTAGCAGAGCGTTGCTTTAACTGGGAGTCTATAAATGATTCACTTTTGGTGCCCATAGGGAACTGGGACTAAGCCGCAGAGTGAGATGCTCATTGGATATGTACCTGATATGGCTGATCCATAACGACTGAATGTTTGCTCCAGATTGAAGATCTGCTTGGCGAATTGATAAACTCATTTGTAAACTGGTAAAGGTGTCCTTCCTGGGCCTCAATAAGAGAATAAAGTACTTTGTTATTGGACTCTAAAATCAAGGGGGTATTCCCTGCACCCTAAACCAGTAAATAGAAGCAGGTTGCCCCGTTGGGTCCATTAAGCTGACTGGAGATGTCCTGGAGCACAGTTCCCCAATAAACTAGTGATGGGTCCAAAGTGCCCCTTTAGTAAGTAACATAGGGAATATCCAAATTGTGTAGAAAATCTCAGCGTCCTGCCGGAGGAGAGGATTTGCTACAATTTTTTTAATCACAATTTGCTAATTAATAGCAGGGCCATGATTAACAGAGCACACAATTAATAGTCGCTCAGCATATTCCACTAATGGCTTAAGCAGAGTATAAAGCATATTAACGGTGTAAGGAACCTCTAATGAAAGTGGCCGTGTCTGGCCCCACTCTGACCCCAGATCTGCATACTAGTTCTCAGGATGCATATCATGTACAGTGATGCAAAACAGGATTGGGATCACTGCTCCAGAACTTCAAAAGCAGATCACTGCCAATACAATTAATGTTCTACAATGGCCTCACCAATGTTTTCTTCTATAAGGAGTCCATCAATTCAACCTATAACGCTTGCAACATCTGTCTTTGATTTCTGTATACCGGTGACTGATCATACAGTTGAGATAAGAATCACCTGCTAGTCATACCAAATTATATGAGTATTGGGAAACAGTGTAACACAGGTCATTGTGAAATACAATTGGCTCTGGCAGAAGGTGAATCAGATGTCAGTCCAGGTGACTGAATGTCGTGTCACGTAGCCTATATAATAACTTATACTAACAGAGTATACTTTGATACTATGCTATATTATGATTCTTTAGCAGAGCTAATAAAATCAATTAACACCAAAATGTAAAAAATAGATAGGTAGGTAAAGGGTTAGATCCTTTGTTGTATTTTTTTAAATCTGCTAACTGGGTCCCTGCTGAAAAGATTTCCAATCACCTCTTGTCCCACTGATCAGTGGTACTGGACAAAAAGTAAGGGAAAATGCCCTCAAGTTGGGACCCTGACAGCAACAGAAATCTGGCAGACGTTCTAACACTTCCCCACTGTACTAAAATATTTTTTTTCAAAAGTTTTTTTCTATTGTTTGTGAAAAATTAGCATTTTATGAAGATTGGTTGATTATAGTAATTACAAGCAATACAAATCTGGCAAAGGTGCTGCCCTCTCCCACTGTACTAACATATTTTTTAACAGTCTTTTTGTCTATTTTCATTAAAAAAAATTACATAGGAGGAGGGGAATTGGTTGATTACAGTAACTGCAAGTATATTTTATACAAGGAAAGGAACAAGTTCCATGATTAGGCCTAATTGTAAGTGAAATGCCTCAGGAGGCAGAAGCAGGAGAATGACAGGGTAAGTTTGGCTAATCAACACAATAAATGTATTTAATTAATCAGATTGTGAAGTGTGGACCTTCATTATTCACGTTAACTTCATCGATGACCACAGATATAAAATGGTTGAATATGACCATTCCTTGTATGTGAAAAAAATCATAATGCCTTGTATTTCAGTATATTATAGTGCACTGACTGAAACACATTTTGGTTTGTTGCCTCGCCAAGTGGTGCTAGATCTCAATGTCATATCGATTCTCAATGTACTAAGGAATGATGGGTCTCAAGTGGACAGTATTGCAAGTAAGCTGCTCCTAAAGCTCAGGTCCTCTCTACCTACTAGAGTTGCCTAAATCTTAAAGTGTAAAAAGAGGGTTGGAGCACCAGAAGAACGAATTGCTAGGACAGCTAAAATTCTATATCCACAAGAAGGGTAGCAAGTAGGGATTAGCACAGTTCGGATCGAACCTGGCCAAACCTGGGGACTTTACATTTTTTTGGTTTCTTTTTTTATCTTCCTCCTCACTTCTATAGCTGGAGAATGACAGCTGAGGAGCCAGAAGTGATGCTTTCTATTCTGTGGGGAGGAGAACTGCGAATGGATGTTCACTCATCTCTCTCCCCGCTTCCCGCCAACACCCAAGAAGCTGATCCCACAGGAAGGGCACAGAGCCCGGGAAGCAAGGGACCCTATTCACCAGCCCATGTAAGCGATATGGCAGCAGCTCAGCCGCCAGAACCACTTCCAGTGTAATGCCGACAGTCGGTTTTACACAGGAAAATGGAGTCCCGGTGACTATGTCTATTTACAGGGGCCGGTAGCCACAGCCATAAGGGATAGGATACTGGCAGTGAAAGGGTTAAAAGGATGACCAAAACCTTCTTATGTTCTGCCCCTTACTAAATGTTTAAAATGTTGACTGTGCCCCATTGCTGAGATTTGTGCTTACTTCCTGTTCTATCTAACACCCGCCCATATCAAATTATATAGGACTAGATATGTAAGCAGTGGAAACATTTGGTTTGTTTCGGATTTTTCGTTATTTCAGGATTCAGCATTTGGGACTGAAATGGAATTCCGTTCGGGGGGTTCGGATGAAATATGAATTTTCGTTAGTTTTAGATGAGTTTACGGCATTTGAAAATCCGGACTCCATTCGGGTCTTGGAACATCCGCTTTAGTATTATGTATATATAATTAGTATTCTGTGTTACAAACGAATATTCGTTGCGGCAACATTGTGAACAATATATAAAACTAAAGCTGAGGCTCCCATTCGGATGCATTAAACCAAAAAACCCATCTGACTGGCCAGAAAAGTCACATGTCCAATTCACTTTTATTTTTTAAATGAAATTCGGACGGGATCAGAAAATTCAGACACATTCAGATGCATTGGGATTCAGAAATTCGGATGTGTCCAAATGCCTGAATTTCGGGGGGGAAAAGTAGAGTAGGAAGAGATATAACTTCTGCAAGTTTGTTGTTGTCCGTATCACTGTAGTATCCTATCATTACAAGATTATTAAAAAAATACAGAATACAAAACTATTTTTATGATTACATTTCATATAGGACACCGAAGTATAGAATTGTAGACAAGTTTAACTCTTAGGCTAGGTTCACACCATTTCCCATACCATATCTGTAATGCAGTGCATCTAATTTTTGCAACAATTTTACCGCGTTCCGGAGCTGGTATTTCTTTTTTTAGCTTAAAATGGGCTTTCAGGTGTGTTCCATGTGTTTTTCATGCGTTTCTATGCATTCCAGGGCATTCCAGACCAGACACAATGTAGTATTTTTCTGGTCTGGTCTGGAACGGACTGCGCTGGTGTGAACAGAGGCCAGAAATAGCATAGGGGTACATTAGGATGCATTTTGGGTCCGTAAACAATCTGGCCTGGTCTGGAGATGATCTGGATGTTGTGTGAATGGGCCCTTAAACAGCAGAACATTTCCAGAATTTTGACAGATTCTTTTACATGATTTCAAAGATTTTTGCCTTTGAAAACTTTATTTTGTAGCAAACATCCAGGCAAATTCCTTGGCCACCACTTTTCATGAATAAATAAAAGCTTATGATAAAAGCAGTGAAAAAAAAGAAATAATACAAAAATTTAGGATTGGTAATAAAATATGACGGTAAAGAAGTTTGTCTGAAGGCTAATATACAGTATATAAGGGAAAAGAAGGTCCCAGACTCACCATGTTTTGTTTCCTGTCAGCTCTGTGTGACTGGAAATGATAGCACATAGATTTGTACTATCTGTCTGTTTGAACTGTGTTCTAATCCCTGTCATTACAATGACACTCTCCCCTCTGTCTGTTGACATATTCCATTGTGACCCTTTCACAATTCATTCATCACGTGCTATGTTTTCAAAAAACTGAGTTCTGGGCTAAATCGGGACGTGATGTCTGAATGTAAAGAGAATTGTCAAAACACATATGAAGAGAATTTACAGTGGATGCTTTATTTTTGCCAGGAATACTTTCTTTAACTACCTCCCGCCCGGCCGTTGTGTATAAACGGCCGCCTGGGAGCTTCCTGGATGTAACAGGCCGTGTATACACGGCCTGTTAGTCCCGACCACTTGGGCGCGCCGCACGGCGCTCGCGAGCGAAAAAGACACAACATTTAAAAACAGGCAGCGTTGCCTGTTAACATACAAGCGATCCGCCGGCTATAGAGCCGGCGGATCGCTCGTATGAGCGCCCCCCCCTCTGCGGTTCCCCCCCTCCCGCTGGTCCCGGGCTCCGCTGTGCACGGTGCGAGCCCAGGACCAGCATAGTGCCTCTATGACAGGGGATCAGAGGGAGGTCGGTATACGACCTCCCTGCAGTCCCCTCTACGGTGTCAGAATGCGGAAGTGTTGTATATTACATTACTTCCGCATTCTCGTGTCACTCTCCAGCTTCAGACGCTGGAGAGAAGATGATGAAGCAGATCTCTGCTTCATCAGCTTCTTCAGGGGGGTCCTAGGTGACATTAGGGGTCTTGGAGACCCCTGATGTTTCCATAAAGAGGACCTGTCACATATTTTGCTATCACATAGAGGGGTTTCTTAGTCCCCTCTGTGATAGCAATAAAGTTAAGTGAAGAAAAAAATAGGCAAATAAATTAACGTTTCCCCCCCAAAAAATGTTAAGTTACACTCAAAAAAGAATTTAAAAAAAACAATTTTAAAAAAAAAGTCCCCACCCCTACATACACGCATGTAAGCATGCGTCATGTGCGCATACCTGTGAAAACGACGATTGCGCCCATTACGCGCACATGTTACATATCGCCGTGAACGTCGCAATGAGAGCAATTATTTTAGGGCCATTAATCACTGATAACACTAAACTGATGAGCTGCAAAACCTTTTAAAGTGTCGCCTATGGTCAATTTTGGGTATGCTAGTTTTTTGCGATTTCGCGGGTGCGCGCAATTTTTAAGCTTGACATGTTTGATGTCCATTTATCCGACGTGACCCCGTCTTTTATATTTTACCAAAAAGTTGTGGTAATAATAAATGTTTTATAACATAATGTAAAAAAAACTTTTTTTTTTCAAAAAAAAAATGGTATAATTCATATCAGTACAGTGTTGCATGACGGAATAAATGTCAGTCAAAGTACCGCAGCGCTGAATACTGAAAAATGGCCTGGCCAGGAAGGGGGTACAAACACCTGGTCAACAAGTGGTTAAAATGTTAATCTCCTTTTGTATAATGCATTCTCCAGGCAAAACTTTTATTTAGGCCTGGTTCACACCTGGCCGTTTTACAGCGCGTTCCTACGTGCTGTAAAACGCTCAACATGTGAAAACCAATGATTGCCAATGGGCATGGTTCCCACCTGGGCGTTTTACAGCGTGTACGAACGCACTGCAAAACGCCCTACGCCCAAAGAAGTACAGGAGCTTATTTGTGGCGTATTTGACGCACGTATCCATTAGGATACAGCCGGATAGCCCTCGGAAACGTGCGTTTGTCGAGCGTTTCTTTTAGGGCTGCAACAACTAATCGACATAATCGATTATAATCGATTATTGAAAAAGTTGTCAACTTTTTCAATAATTGATTAATCGGCTTCCGATCAGTTGGCCCTGTTCACAGCTCCACACGCTGTGCGCCGTACCTCCTCCCCACCTCACGCTCGCCGTTGCCAGACCCGCCCGCATCCATGCTCCACACGCCGCACACTCACCGCCCACCCACATCCACGATCGGCACAGGGACGCGGGGAGATGTAGTAAGGAGGAGCAGGTGTGGGGTGATGACAGCCACCGATAGACAGGCCCGATCTCAGAAGCAAGTTGCTGGAAGACTGCTCAGGTAAGCCTGCACTTTCCCACACATGGTACTCTATAATGTATTGCTGGGATTTGTATTCCTCTATAGCTGATGGTACATTGTGCTGTATATTATACATAGGAATACAAATCCCAGCAATACATTATACACTGTATGTATAATGTATTGCTGGGATTTGTTGTACTC